TCACTTGGAAATTGTGGTGATTTGTCTGGAGAAGTTTGAAGGAAAATAAATGCAAACCTAACACCAACTCCAACTTCTCATAATGCTACTTACAAAGTAAGAAATCATAGAGTAAGATCACTCAGTTAACAACCCCAGCCAGAAAGCTAAATGCTCATCAAAGACCAAACAGGATGACCGCAGATTTGTTAGGAGAATGGTCTTGTTCTGGTTTCTACACTTACGGCTTTTTACTAGCTAAGGAACAAAAAATTTTTGATGTTTCAACCTGATTGCATATAAAAACTAATGGCAAGTTTAACAATAGAGTCTAGACTGGGGATATAAGTCAGTGGTAGAACACATCCAAGGTTCTGGGTTTGTACTGCAAGTAAGAGACAGAGAAAAAGAGAGGGAGAAGAGATGGGCGGGAAGAGAAGGGAAAAGTGGGGAGAAGAAAATGGAAGAGAACAGAAGGGAGAAAAAAGAAAATGGAATTCTGAGGCAGCCCCAGATTTGGTTCAGTAGACATGACAATCTAGGTTTTCAAAAATAGTTGTGATAAAAGTCTACAAATTCCAATAGGAAACAATTGGTTAAGTGGTGGAGATGCTATATTTTAAATTGAAAACTGTGAAAGTGTAGAGGATAGATAGGCTTTAGTAGAATATGTCAATTGAAAGGTGCTTGGAATGGCCTTTCAGAGAAGACCTGGAATCTCTGTTCTGGTAAGGAACTGTATGTGTGCATTGTCACCATTCTTTAAATTGTTTAGCCATTCATCTTATGAATTTAGAGTCTCTTGGCTCTTGATTTATACAAATAATAACTTTAAAGAAATGTAAGGTAAGAATTCAACAGCATTAAACTAGGAGAAAGGTAAAGATATCTGCATTTTAGTAGCACCACTGAAGATCAGAGTCCTGACACTGTTCTCTCTTAGTCAGATTAAGTGTCTCTAACAGAATAATGTGAGCTTGTTGGCTTAAACAACAAACATTTATGTCTCCCAATTACAGAATTTGTAAAGCCCAAGATCAATTGAGAGCACTCTTCTCAATTTTCATGCCTTTTATTTTCTCTGTGAGTACAAAGAAGGAAAACTCTTGAGTCTCTTCTTTTAAGAGCACTAATTCCATAAAAAAAGGCTCTATCCTGATGACTAGCTTACCACCAAACACAATCACACTGGGAGTTAGGAATTTCACATGAATTGAGAAGAAAGAAGAACTATTCAGTCCATATCACTAGGTAAGCCTATCACTAAGCCTGAATTAGGCTTCAGTCGGCTCCAGGGTCTTTCCAAGGAAACCAAATCTCTTGAAACCAGAAATAATCACAAGTGCTCTGATTTTGTGTGATAACTGCAATCCATTTTGAACAAAATGGCCAGAGGAGCTCATGGCATTCAAGGGCAAAAGTCTATTCTATAATCTCAGCTTCATTCCCTAAGTGAATATCTACAGGTGTGTACATCAGAAACATGTTCTTGGACTCCAAGAAACCAGCCAAGTGCCTTGAGAGCTGTTTAATGATAGGACTTCAAGAGAGAGGTGACATGTGTAATAACTAGAATATATTTATAAATGTACAAGTTAATCCAATGGATAACAAAAGACAAATAATTACACTTGGACATGATTAATTAAACAACATCACACAGTGAGAACACAGGAGGATATTCTTAGGAGAGGACCATAATGGCTCAATGTGCATATGACCATAGAAAAGGATGCATATCAAAATGAACTTCAAGAAATGGAAACGAAAGGTTTATTTATTGTACTGCTTGCAGTTATGTCTTTCTTCTTTCCTTTGGTTTATTTCCTGTTGTCACTGTTTTTGATTTCTGTGTCCATTGTCTTCTAGGTAAGTTTACCTGACTTGGGGAAGGGAATGGGAATCACAGAAATAAACAGTGGGACAAAGGGTGTACCAATGCAACACTAATACTCACTAGAAACTGTTGGAAATAAACTTTACAACTTAGAGGGAAGAAGATGGGGGAGGGATGTGGGAGAAAACGAGGGAGGGGTAACACAGTTTTTTTTTTTTAAAAAGATACTCATTACCTGACTTGTGTAATTATAACCCCACTCTGAACATCACCTTTACAATAAAATTTCAATGAATGAAAATGGGAGAGAGGTGAAAACTATGAAAAATCTCTAGAGAGATCACTGTATAAGACCATTTTCATTACAAGGGAGGAGAAACTGTGAGGAGATTCCACAAGGTAGAGTGGAATAGAGAAACTCCTGTTGAAGGGAAATAGGATCTCTCTCCTCCCTCTATCTACAAGCCTTCCCTCTCTGGTCCAAGGACCCTTGCTTTTGGGCTGAAGTGCATGGCTTATCACATTGTCTGGGCATCACTCAAAACATTCAAACACGGTCTTCTTTATTCCAGTTTGATTTGTCTACCCTCACCCTGAGGTTATTAAACTGGCAAGGAAATATATGAAATCAGCATTCTTGAATATGTTCCTCACTGGGAAGGGCAAGGGAGGACTATTTCCATGGTTGAAGTGTTCTAACCAATTCAGAGAAAAATACCACATGAAGTAAAAATATTATCATCCTGGCCAAGGAAGGGTTTCCTTTATAACCATGCTGACATGCAAGGATTTTACAGCCTTGCCTTCTCCCGGGTGTCAGTGGTATTGCCTACTCTCTCCATCTGGGGGCTGTTGATTCGACAGAAGCAGAGGAAGGATTTCATCTGTGGGATGTGGAAGAAAGGAGAGAGTCCCTGGGAGGGTTTAAACTCTGCATTGTGAAGTAAGCCTCATGTGGCAAAAGAATTGTAAAGCCTTCACGGACATAGATTTGACAAGGTATTTTTAAGTAGGACTTTCTTGAGTAGCAGAAGCCACATACCAAAGAAAATGTAGTGTGCTATTTCATTTCTATAAATTTCAAGAACAAAGAAAGCTAATCCAGGTTGTGAAAGTGCCTATAATAGAATACTTTATGTTGTGGGAGATTTTACTGAGAAGAATCACAAAGAGGAATGTTGAAGAGCTGAAATTGTTCAGGATCTTGGGCTCAGCAATATTACCAAACTGTATTCACATACAAAATCCCTCAGGCTCTATACTAATGTGTATTTTGATATGTCTAATTAAGTATTCACTTCAAAAACTGTAAACCAGTCATCTGTTTTTCTGCTATACTTACGGATGTAGCATGTGGCACTGGCACAAAAGGCATCTGGGATGTTCTAGAAGATGGAGATGCTGTTAATGACCCCGGAAAGAATTAAAGAACACCAGAACAGTCAAGTGACACAGAAGGATCTTAGGTTCTGTCACGAAGCAGACATAGAGCATAATCTACATCCTGCCTATGGGTTTTTGATTAAGCTTTACATTTCAGTATTTGCTAAAATATGAATAATAACATTTGCCTTTAAATGCTCTTTGAAGGAATCAAATATGTAATGTGCACAGGATTTTCCCCTCAAATAATTGGAAATATAGCTCAAAAATGATATTTATTGTTAATAAACAGTAGACATGTGGCAACAAAGACTATGATGCTAAAACATCCTAGTTTTAAATATTTTTATCCTAAAATAACTCTTGAAAATAAAAGTTGGCTTTTAATAATTGCCTAATTATATAAATAATATAATATATAAACACTATATATAATACCATATATTATGATTTATTATGTATGTAACATTTCATTTATTTCTAAGTAGGTATTATTAACATGTTAAGCTATTAAAGTATTTTTTGTTCTTATTAAAACTATTTGAAATCAGAGACAACTCCATGATTCAGATCTTGGAAAAAACTTAAAATCTTTCTGTGTATTTCTTTATCTACAAAGTAGGAATAAAAACATGACTTTATTAGGAGTGTTTTGATTAATCAATTTATTATGAGGCAATCTCTTTCAATATGCCTGATGATGTTAATTTCAGATCAGTGATTCAATTTAGCAAATATTTACTTAATGTCCAAAGTAAGCCAGATATTATTTTAGATTCCGAGAATTAAAAACATTAAGACACATCTTCTACCTTGTAGAAACTTCCAATCTAGTGGCAAAGACTGATGTGCCCATCTCTAGAAAACAGTATGACTAATGTAAATAGAGTAAGATATTAGAACACTGGGCAAACACACAAATCAGGGCACAATGGTCAGTGAGAAGTCTGCATAGGATGGTGGTCTCATCTAAATTCTGAAGAGAAATCATGGCATATGAAAATGGCAATTTAAATCCACCAATGCTGTAATGGCCAAAAGGTTATTTATTATTTGAGAAGTGCAGTTGTGTCTGTAACCACAAGAGTCTGAATCAGGACTGGGCTCTTACAACAATAAAACTGGAAGGTACCTTCTCTCTGCAATGAGTCAGAAGGGAATGGAATGGAATTCCATCCACCTTAAACAGCTTCTCTGGAGTCCATGTGTGTACACCAGAAGGAGGGGCAATTCTTTCAGGGCAGTATTGAGTCATAACTGCTTTAGAATCTGTGGAAAAGTATGAAAACTTTTCCAAGGAAAAATAAGCATGTAAATATACAAAAACAATTGTAGTAACCTCAGGGAGATTATTGCCCTTCCAAAGGATAGACTGAATCTGTTTTAAAACAATACTTGTACCGCTGCACCATTCTCCTCCTTGAAGAACCAACAGATATTAGAACAACATTATTGTCACAGCAACAGAGTATCTGTGTAACAATTTTTCTATCCTCTATACTCCCTAGCATTTTCCAGTGTACTTGCATGTGAGATTTCTCCAACATGAAACTGAACTATAAATAGATGCTTCGGAATTTCTCATAATCTTTTGGGAGAGATTTTTCAAATACTATTATTGCTAATCAATAGTCATGATTATTTTTCGTTTCTTAGCTTCAAGTTCAAAGTGGACTGATAGGACTTTTGGCTTAAATGAACTATTTGTCTATCTGCTGATTTGCCTATCTTCCTCACATATTTCTGAGAGAGAATCCAGGCTTCTCTGACGGTGGGTCTATTTTGTTTTATGTCTTATCAGTAAGTTCCTGAATATACAGTGCCTGGAAAGTGGAATCTGGAATCAAGGCAGTTGCAGCCCTGTGGTGTGTGAGCCTCTATCACCTGTTTTCGAAGGCATGTATGAATGTACCAATGGCTTCAATCTGGACAGTCAGTGTGTACTCCACTGCACCCAGGAAAGCGAAAGGGTAAGGAAGGCTCCTTGAGCTTTGCTTTGGATCAAGCTGTTCTTGGATCTTGGCAGCACCAAGAATGCTAAGTAGAAATTATCTGAAAGGATCCCAACAGACAGGACTTTACTCAATTGGGATTCTAACTGAGGATGTTGATATTATCACATAGGGAACTCAGCTAAGAGACCATGTTTTTGGAATATTTTCTCCCCATCTGAGAACATTTTGGGGGAAAATAAGAATCTGGTGAATAGGAGACTGGTACATCCCAAATAATACTAGAATCCTCATTTGGTAAAAATATCTCCTCTTACCAGTGACCACTGATTTAACTTGGCTAGCACTGCTAGTTTTATACTTTATTATTATTTTTAATAGAACAGAATCCTGAGCAGAAACACAAATTCCTCAGCAGGGTTGAAAGCACTCTTGGACTATGATAATCCCTAGGATTTTGGCACACAAGTATCAAATGAAAACCACAGCCTTATCACAGTTGTGTGACTAAAATCAGTTTTTGTGATTTTTAAGAATCTTTTTCAGCACTACACAAACACATGAGACAGGAAATCAAGCAGACTTCCTAGGCAAAGACCAATGACCTTGACTATTCCTTTGGCATATGTCTCTAACTTTGTGCCTAGCACTCCAAGGTAAGCATTGTAGATATGAAAGGAATATGCCATAAAATGACACCATGAGACATCAAACACATCCATCTGCACAGATTGGTTAAAGACCAAGGAGCTGGCCAGATGGAGTTTCCAAACTCTTATTTCCTTGGGTTTTTGTTAGTTTTTACTACACTGTGGTCTAGATAGAATATGCTTTGTGTTTATTGGGGCTGTGAAGCCAAGAGTTACACAAGCCAGCAAACATGCGGAGAAAAAAAATTAACCTTTGCTGAGATCAAAAGCAACTGTGCTGTGTTTGTTCCAACAGAAAGGCAAAAACACACCTTGAAGAAAATTATGAATTTGTTTCAATGGAGGTAACTTATCTTGGAAAAAAAATGTGCTACTTGCCATAGGCAGTATTTGTTTAAGAGTGTGAATCAATTAATATGAAATAATACCACATAGAGGATGAGGGAGGGGTGACACTGTTCAAAAGAAAATATACTTGTTACCCGATTCATGTAACTGTAACCCCTTGTTCATCACCTTTACAATAAAACATTTTTAAAAATTAAAATAAAAAAAATACCATCTCTAGAAGTCTCCCCAAAATAGCTCAAAATATATAGAATATGGCCAATAGCTCATCATAGGTTTATATCTAAAGAAAAATACATTGCTGAAAAATATCATTCATAGTAAAGTTGTTCATGATTTCTTCCCATGGAAACAGTATGAAGTTTCTTTCTTTCTTTCTTTCTGCTATTTCCAACACCAAGTTTTTCAATAAAATTTTTCTTCCTTCCCCTCCCTCCCTCCCTCCCTCCCTCCCTTCCTCCCTCCCTTCCTCCCTCCCTCCCTTCCTCTCTCCCTCCCTCCCTTCCTTCCTTCCTTCCTTCCTTCCTTCCTTCCTTCCTTCCTTCCTTCCTTTCTTCCTTCCTTCCTTCCCTCCTTCCCTCCTTCCTTCTTCGTTCCTTCTTTCCTTTCTTTCTCTTTTCAAGCTCTGGGTTTGAATTTGGGGCTTCACACTTGCTAGGCAGGCACTGAACTACTGTCAGCTATTTTTGCATTCATTGGTGTTGTGCGATGGGATGTCCCTTTGTATCTGAGCCAGCCTGAATTGCCATCCCTTCCTTGCACAAATCATAGGTGCACACCACCATGCCCTGTGTTGGGGGAGATGAAGCCTCACGATATTTTTGTACTTTTGTTGCTGTTTTTGCCCAGGGTGGCCTTCTGTCATAGTTCTTGGATTTCTGTTTAAGAAGAAGCTGAGTTTACAAGCTTGGTCCACTATGTTTGGCTCAGTAAAGTCTGTTAGAACAAGTACTAGAAACGGACGCACATTACCCTTTAATCACACCACCATTTCCCGCTTTACATAATGTAGTTTAAAGACAATAATGGAAATGAGCTTTCCCTTTTATATTCCTAGATTCCTATCCTCTGCAATAAGGATGGAAAATGGACTCAGGAGTTCAAGTTGTGTGCAAATCTGCAAGGGGAGTGCCCACCACCACCCTCAGAGCTGAATTTTGTGGAATACAAATGCGAAGAAGGATATGGAATTGGTAAGGACTGGAAGGGCAGGCTGGAGTCAGGTCAAAAGCCATCCTTACATTAAGCCTGCCATGGAATCAGTGTTTTCTCTGAGGAGAGAACAGGAACACAAACTGACTCTACTTCAATAAGAAGGAAATTTGTGGCAAATTTGTTCTTTTAATTGTTCCACTTATATATGATATCCATATCACCACTAAGTCATCTGGTCATGTTACCAGAGTTGAGAGCGGTTCAGTTTGTGGCAAGAGAGTAGCTCCAAGACGAAAGTTAGGAACATGAAGCCACGTCCACTTGTGTGTTGAGTTCCTCCTTTCTCTCTGTAGTTGTTACTAGCTCAGAGTGTTGCTGAGTCAGGCAGGTTGAAACTGTTCTTACTGGTGCTTCTCTTCAGCCATTAAGCTCTATAAGGGACTACGCTCCAAAGCCTATGGGCATTTGCCTACTTCAATCATTGCAATGGCAGGTCTTTGTGGCTCAAGTTCACTTAAAGAAGTGTTGATCCAATTTAGCCTATGCTGGTACTCAGCATTGTAGCAAATAATATGAAATACTGTGCTAGTACTTGTGACTTCTGCATAGCATTGGCAAGGCAAAACATGACAGCACATTGAAAGCTGTGTAATACCGATAAATATAATTTATGTTAATTAGAATATTTATTCTTTCTGAAATGGTTCTTTACTATGTTTAAAGTGTTCTGCATTATATATAATATCTTGTGACTGGTGAATCAAGAGGTTCCCTATATCTCTTGTTTTATGTTTCATGAACAGATTCTCATCCTTAGAACCATCAAGTATTACATAAGAATACCAAATGTTTACATATCCACAGTCTTAAAGAGTGATGTAATTTCTTTATTACAAAAGTTACCTAGAAACATACAGCTAGGAAATGCTGAGAAGCGTGGCTAACATCACATCAATAGATGAAGGAGTAGCAAACCCTGAGACTATGCTATCTTTCAATAGAATCTTAAGATGTTTGGATCCCATGTGAAAATGAAGACCAAAAAAATTTCCTCTGAGAGTCAACATGCAGCCAAAATCTCTGCTTCTGATTTTCTATTGTTTCCTACTTTAGTCACGTAGGTTACTTGGCTGCCTGTGTAACCATCTTTATTATATCAACGGGCAATATATTCCCTGTAGTAATTTTGTAATCACTGGACCATTTTCTTTCATTTGAGTTATTAGTTAGTAGTCATCGCAAAGATGATAAGCTACCAGGAGACCATATAAGTAGGAAGGATATTAATTATACTTAAACGACATCAGCAATCAAGACAGAGTTTGGCAAGCCAATGCTAAAGAAGGGGGATGTGTATGCCTCTTGGTCCAGAATAGATTATTAATTGCTGGAAGGTAGAGAGACTAAGAGATCCCAAAGGAAAGGATTTTCAGCATTAGGCAATGAGGGGTGGGAAGTGAGGAAAGACTTGGGTAAGGAAAGTCAGCTTCTGACAGTAACATTTACTAATTTATGTAAAACTACTCCTACAGGTATATATAAATATCATATGTACTAGATGAGTATCCTGAATATACCCATCACAAAGTGATGACCCATAATGACCCATATCCTTTTTGAAAAATCAAAGCTGTTGATATAAGATTTGTGTGCATGTACAGAGTGATGTACAGAGTGGTTACAGTTATATAAGTAAGGTAGTGATTATATTTCTTGTCTAACTTCTTACCCATTCCCTCACTTTTTCCCTCTTTCCCTCCTTCCCCCAACCCCCTCCCAAGTTGTACAGTTCATTTCCAACATATTGTCTTGTGAGTATTGCTGTTGCATAAGTTCCCCTTTTGTCCTTTGTCTCACCATTTTGTTGTTTCCCTTCCCTTCCCTAGCTCAGATAAACATATATACAATACCCAGGGTACCAAAATCAAATATAGTGACAACAGGGGATAAACCATAGGGGCGGAAAACACAAAAGAAAAAAGAAATCACGTAGTACCTTGAGAACAACAACAATAACAAATCCCTTGTGTCCATGTCTTGGAGTTCATTTCACTTAACATCTTCTTATATGGTCATATGTACATAGTTATAGAACTATTCTGCTCAGCTGGTAAGATTATTGTAGATATAAACTAATTATTACAAATAAGGGAGACCATGGGACTTATGTTTCTTTTGATCTGGATTACTTCCCTTGATATGACTTTTTTCCAACTCCTTCCATTTCCTTACAAATGGAGCAGTGCCATTCATATATATATATATATATATATATATATATATATATATGTATATATATGCATGTATATATGTGTGTATATATATATATATATAGAGAGAGAGAGAGAGAGGGAGATAGATAGATAGATAGATACCACATTTTCTTGATCCATTCATCTCCTGAGGGGCATCTGGGTTTGGTTCCATATCTTAGCTATGGTAGCACAGATGCTTTCTTGGCTGCAGGAGCTAAAAAAAAAATCAAACCTGATGTAAGATTTTTAGAAGAAAGCTATGAATTGGGAAATTCACGTCTCTGCTTTGTTTTGTTTTATTTCTTTAGGTGCAGTGTGTTTCCCATCCTGTGTAATGCCTGCTAGAGATCCCGTGACCCTGCCCAAGAACGTCACTGTTGACACGATGGAACACTGGGTGGAAGCGGCCACAGTTGAGGTAAGAAATGGGAGTGAGTACAATTTTGTCCACCAAAGATGTTAAGGCTCCTGAGCGATTCTCAACTGGTAGGATATTTCCTGGGGTAACTTTGAGCCTTTCAAAGCATCCTTGACACAAACAACCAGACAGACCATTCCTATAACCAAAGATAATAAATCAGGTAGAGAAAGGAGAGAGGAAAGAAAAAGCAATTTCCCTTGTCTGAAGGAACGTTTAAAAAAAGGCAGAAAGAAGGTTCAGAGACATAAGTAATTGAGAAGAAAGTGACTACTAACTAAACCTGTGCAGTAGAAATTAGAACAATCCAAAGAAATATTTTTTAAAGTTAAAGGAAATAGGGTGATAAATTAGAAATACGTAGTTCCTTTGTCCATTTATTTAATGGGATTATTAATTCTTTGAGAGTTTAGTTTCTGGAGCTCATAAATAGGAAGTAGTGCCTAATAAACCAAAGCAGTCATATTGAATGAAACTCCACAGTGCATAAAAATCCTTATAATTCAAATTGACTGTACTCAACCTTAAATCTGGGTGTCTTTTGCTTGTGGTCCTAGGAGTTGAACCCAGTTACTCTTGAGCATACTAGGCAAGTGTCTATCCCTTGAGCCATGCTCCATCAGTTTTGCTCTTATATTTTGTTTTTGAACCAGTGTCTCTCTAACTTTCCTGGAGTGGACCTCAAACTTGTAATCCTCCTGCCTTTGCTTTCTGAGTAGCTTGGATTATAGGCACACCACAACACCTGGTTTTGGGTGTCTTCAAGGGTCACTTAGACACTATCTATAATAAGGAATAGTATAGATTCCACCTTCTGAAACACTGGAATGAAGTGGATTGCATATCTTTTGCAACCATTCCAGGTAATTTCACTGTCATTGCTTTAACAATCTCTACATTTACAAAATAAAATTCTTAGAAGTATTTTAAGTATGAGCACACCTGTTTGGAGCATGGCTTATTGTTTTGCAAATCACATTTTACTGTGTCATGAAAATCCCCACCATCTATCATATTTCAAATACCCTTTTTTTTCTGGAAAGACTAGAGCAATGGATCAAAATTGCATAATTTTCTCTATTCTGCTTCCAATGACTTCATTCTTTAGAATAAAAAATGATAACATATTTGGACAATATGTTATTGTCTTCAAAGTTACATGTGTATGTGTTATTGTTTTGAATCTCATCACAAATGAATAAGATAGAGATTTTTATTATCTTCTCTTTACTAATACATTATATGTTGTTAGATAATCTGCCCAAGATTTCATTTGGCAAAAAGCAGAAGTATAACCAACCCTTTTGACTCCAAGTTCAGAATGACACCATCCATGTCACCCTGTTTGTTATTGGCTTGTGTGTAGGGGGGGGAGGTTGGGTTAGTTTGTCTATGAAATTTTTTAAAAAGTCATTTTTCTCAACCACAAGACCATGTAATTTCTAGACTTTCCTCCCACCATCATGAAATCTAAGAAAAATAATTTAAGAAAAATATAATTAAAGAAACAATGCTTCAATTTTCCTTCCTTTTAAGCATGGGACCATTCTCTCTAGTCATCAACTTTGCATTACTGGGAAGAGCAGATGAAACAGACTTGAGAGAAGAAAATCCAAAAAGCAAATTGTTTTGGTCCAAATGAACAGACAACATGATGCTATGCTTTATTTAGTTATAGCCACGAGCAATTTGCTGCAAGCCAATTGAAGAAAGATATAGTATTCTTATTTTGAGAGGATTTGTCATTTTATTTGTTTTTTTTAAAGAACAAAAAAGTATATGTTTATATATCTACAGAGTTTATTTGACTTTCTTGGGGTTCCTGTTGATTTTTATTCCTGCATATTCTGTCAGACTTCTACCTAGAATAATATACTCTTTTAATGTTTTTAAATTAATTTACCTTATTGTTATCATAAAGGTAATGTACAGGGGGATTACAGTTATGGGCGTTAGGTAATGAGTGCATTTCCTTTCATACATTGTCTTCTGTTCTCTCATTCTCTCCCAGTTCCTCCCTCCCATCTCTATCCACAAGTTACAGAGTTTACTTTCACCAGTGTCCATTGAGCTCCATGGTTGCATTTTTTCACAAGTTTTCCTTCAAGGGCTGTACACTCTCCCACCCTCACAAAGATATACACTCGAATACACCATATATAAAAAAAAAACAGAAGACAGAATCGTCAAAAGTATTTTTAAGAGAGACATCTTGTTTCTATATCTTGGAGTTTGTTTGATATATATATATATATATATATATATAATTTGATATACATATGAAGAGGCAGGTAATCATAGTGCCTTTTTGTTTCTTACTATACCCTTTTGGTCTTACTGTGTGTGAGTGAATAATATACTTTTTTATTAAATATACGTTATTAAATATACTTTTTATTAAAGGGTAAACAATAAAACAAGCAAACAAAAACTCAAACCTGTGAGGTTGAACTTTTTATGATTATCTTTACTCGCTATGTTAAGAGAGTGTTTTATTATATTTTATGCCTGAAATCAGAAATTTAAGTTTCAAAGCAGTGATCCATCAGGAAACCGATTTTACGAGAAGTTTTTTTTAAAACACAATGTGGCAATTGTTTGCCTCTAAATGAGTTTTCCTAAATTGTATTTGAAAGTATTTCTTGTTGAAGTACAAAGGCATGCATGGTAACCTCTCATTTCCCCTATTATTTTGCTTCATAAATTCCGTTTTCATAGGTTGAATAATGCTTTTGTTTTCTTTTTTTAGTACTGTCATAATTATGAATTAGTCAGATCCGCATTAATGAGATTTTCCTGTGTCTGCACAGGATGGTTTTTCAGAGTCTTAAAACAGTGTGAAATCTCTCTATGCTCCTCAGATCATCGACAGAATGGTTCAGTCACATTAAATGTATTTTCCCAAATCCACCCTCAAAGGACTGTTAATTTTGTAAAGGAATAGAAGAGATTAATGAGAAGAGAAAAGCAGGGGGAAAAGGTAAAGGTAGTTCCTTCCTAAAGCTGTAGCTTTGAACTTAATGACTATTAGTACTCAGTACCTAGTATTTCTGGCTTAGTACTGAATCCTGTCCCCAAAGTGTCCTCTTGTGTGAATGATGTGTGTGAGATTCCCAGTGACACTTGCTACAAATGAGAGCAGATAGGACATGAGGCATGAAATGCCTTGGTTTTCTTTCCTTTCAAGCATGGGACCATTCTCTCTTGTCATCAAGTTTGCATCACTGGGAAGAGCAGATGAGACAGACTTGAGAGAAGAAAACCCAAAAAGCTAATTGTTTTGGTCCAGATGAACGGACAACATGATACTAAGTTTTATTTAGTGGCACACACATATATATCCATGAGCAATTTGATGCAGGCCAAGGCAAATGTAACACTTTGCGTGCTGCTGTGACTAGCAGCTATTAGTTAACTATTCCTGACAAAAACACAACTATTACTACTAAGAATAACTGATACATTTTTGTTAGGTTTTAATCTTTTAATGTCACTTGTGTGACATTTCACAAGAAATATAACTATCAACAGCTTCACAAAGTCTTATGACCATCTTAAATACCTATAACTTTTGCTTTATTTCCCCCCTCTGTTTCTTTTCTCCTTTCCTTCCTCCTCTTTCTACCTCTCTTTCCTTTTTTTCTTTTTTAAAGACATTTTAAAATATTATTAGATTCAGAATAGTTGCTTAGCAAGAGGGGGAAAAGATGAAGAATGATATTGGAGGGCCAGATGTAGAGGACAAAGCCAGAATTTGTTATGAGTTACGCTCTGGAAGCCGAAAGAGGAAAGTGTCAAAACTTGGTGAAGATGGGCAGAGGATTTGGAATTGTTCTCTTATTCTCCATAGCTTTTCAAATGAAAACTATGCAATGGTCACCTGCCAACAATATTCCAGATATAAGAAAGTCAAATTCACTACCAGGTAGCTAGCTCCTCTATCTGTTCCTCTGCTCCTTTCCTGATTCACTCTCCTCTTTCCAGCATGCCTGTAAAATCCAGTCCTGAAAAACCCTTGGAATTGCCTTCCAATTAGAATAAATAACTAGTAGTTCAATTAAGAGCATAAGCATATCTGTAGATAAGAGATGTCTTTATAGGATGCTTGATTTGCATAGGCTGGAACGGGAAAAATATAGAAATCTAGCATTGCCTTTTATGGTTGGCAAATCCTTAACAAATATATTTTTGTAAGTCAGAGTTAAGGAATAGGAAGATTGTTCTCCCCAGGGGTTTTGAACTCTGGTAAAAGATTATGACAACGATTAGGAGTGTACCAATCTGAATTTGTCTCAAGACTGAAGTATACAGCATTAGAACACTGATGTGATAGATGCTGACAAATCTATTTGTATGAGTTTGTTTTATAAATATAATTTTATGGGTAAAAAGATTTTATAGAAGCTTTTATTGTTACAACAAAATGACAAAAAATGACTAAGGATCCACCCATTTCAATCTAGCTAAATAAGTTAGGGTACATTTATGAGATGAATTTCTATTCATTCAATATAATACCACATCTCAGATATCACAAAATAAACAGAACTCCATAACACTTATGCAGTAGGATAAAGTAAAACTGTAATAATACCAATAATAATAAGCCGAAGTGAAAAATGAAATTATAGCAGTCTATGGTTTGTGAAGAAAATTATAGATAGAATATATAATGTACATTATATATTATACACACATATATAGTTTGCATAGTTTGTTTGTAGTTGTATGTGTGGAATTCCTCAGTATGATTCAAAAATAACCTTGTATAAAAGAAGCTAGGTAGTTGGGAAAGAGGAGTAGGAGAAGGCTGTGTTCTTTTATGCCATTTATATTTAACTATATCAACATTTTATTATATTTAATAAAAATAAAATTATATAAAAATTCAAATACCTCCAAATAAATTGAAAATAAGAGAATTAGGAAAATGTGCCTTAGGGGGAAAATTGGATATGAAGACAAATTCTTTTTCCTTTTCTTTCTTTTACAATATTTTGTATAATTTATGGACTGTTGGAAGACATAACTGCATTTTTATAAAATCTGTAAACAAGTTGAAGGTGGAAAGGGCATAAAAGATTTTGACCCTATCAGTTCAGAATATTTTGGTGATTTCTGATTGTCAGGGCCATATGAGTTTGCCAAAGACAAGACTTCCCTTATTTAGAAGAACTGGTATTCTTTAAGTATCCTCTATCCCAAATTTTGAACTCTTTAAGAACCACTGATGGGTTTATACATCCTCTTGTTCACTGAAATCTGGATGTTAGCAAGTAAGGCTTGTATTATCCATCTGTTCTGGGGAAGGGACCTCTAAAGGCAGTGTTATACAGAGGAATAAGACTGCTAGCATCTTTCAAGGGGACAAGTTAAGGCAATTTTCCATTCCCACTTTCTGAGGTCAACAAAGAAACAAAACATTAGTGCATGAAGTAGTAATAATCATGAACCCTGCTAAGTATAAATCCAAGGAGCTGTGTTTCAGCACATAAATCAACATCATTTCTAGTTATCAGAGATGTAGTTAATATGCATATGGTTTTGCTAAAGTGGCTTTATGTGCAGGAAAATAATAATAATTTTTCATCCTGGTTATGTTTACTTTATATATTTGTTTTAACAATCCCTTTTTCATTGCAGTGATAACAAATCAAGTCATTTTCTAATAATAATAGATAACAGTATGGAAATTTGAGTATCAGACTTTGTGATGATTTATTCTATTTCCTCTTTAGGGAAGATGTGAAAAATAATTTTGGCTTTTAGTAGTAAAACTCTCTAAAAATATTGCAGACTCCTATTCTCATGGCCAACCATGAGGTATATTATATATATGTAACACATTAATATACACAAATACCTCTCACTGAATTATTGAATGTATACATTCTAGAATCTATTCTAGAATGAATGATATGTAAAAGCAGAGTTATAGGAAGGAGTAAGACTGCCAGCATAATATTATGCATTCTATAATGCGTAATGTCTAGTTTCTGGAAACTCTAGACAGCATAAGGCTCATATCTCATCATTTGTTACATTTCTTCATATTGTACTTGGTTTTCATTGAACTGATGGAAATATGAGAATGTCTATAAGCTCTATACAGGACCGTTTTTTCTTTCTTTCCCCTCCCTGAAACCTGCTACAAGACTTTCTGTTTCCCTGAAGCATATCTTTGGTTGTTTTAAAGTATAAACAATAAAAGTTTAAAGCTCACTGAGAATAAGATTACTAATTAAACTTCTGTGGAACTGTGCACCTGAAAATAACCTCTACCAATAGGACACTCACTGGTGTTCAAAATGAAGATGCCCCTGTTATATCCCATGACCACCACTCCAGCTTTATGTTGGTGCCATTTTGAATTCTGGCACCAACAGTAATCTTATGTGTTCAGTGTGTTCTCTTTGCAGTAAGGAAGGTCTAAATGGTGTCAACAATAATTGCAGAGCGTGTATGTTGGTCTCTGGTCCCAGCTAGGTCACATGTGTTCTACAATTTAGTATATCTGAGATCTATTGTGTTAGTCAGTTTTTATAAATAACTACCTGAGGCTGGGAACCTTATAAAGCAGGAGGTTTATTTGGCTCATGATCCTGGTTGTCAGAGGATCCCATTAACATGGTACCAATTTCCTAGTGAGGGCTGCAAGATAAAATAAATGTACTAGGTTTAATTAGGTAGCCCATAAGAGAACACTACAAGATATTCAGGCAGGAAGAGAAGTTTGTTGTTTTACCAAACAAGGTGGAGACCACATGGCTGAAAGGAAAGGGGCAGGCTGAGGTCTGAGCTGGGTTTAAGTAGGGAAAGAGAAGGGGGAAGGTGCAGCCAGGTGAGGGAAAGTGTGGCCACACTGGATTCAGTTGTGATCAGGGCCTGAGACCCTCCTCTGGTCCAATGGGAAGTATGACTGGGGGGAGGAGGGGCCTGGGACCCTCCCCTGGTCCAATGGGAAGTATGACTGGAGGGAGAAGGGGGAGGGTACAATGTACCTCCAGGCATGCCAGTTACCTAGGTGAACCTAGGTGACACAGGAAGTGGGCGGAGACTTAGCTAAGAGGAGGGAGGAACCTGCCTCCCCTTCCCAGAGTGAACCTTACAAGGGTCTCTTGGCCTCATTACAACATTGTGTTTGGCTTTGTGACAGGAGCATCTCAAGAAAGAGAGAGCAAATGACAAAGCAAGAAGCCGGAGAGACTTGTCTACCAGAGTTGCTGTATTTATCATTGATTCTTAGGGAAACTAGCCAGAGTCCCAGAGAACGCATCCTGTTCACTTGTTAAAGATATTTTTGTTCACTTAAACCCCATCACAGTGGGAGCCAGACTTCCAGCACATGAACCTGTGGGAAGCATAGCAAAAACAAGTCCAAATACCTGCATTCATTTTTTGCTAAAAAGTGTTCTGTATACACATTACGCTGGGTGATATGTAAATGTACACCGATGTAATTCACTGACATCAATAGATGCAGTGTAGAACTCAATGAAATTCCTTAGGCAGGCAAAAAAATCATAGTTCAACAAAGTAAATACCGTGAAAGGGGTACGTGAATGGTGTGGGGTAAAGGGGAAAAGGGTAGATGAATGAAGAGAAGTGTTGGAATGCAGTAAAAATAACTCGATGTATATCTTGCAAAATGGAGAAAAGTGAAGGAGGGAGTAGGAGGAGAAGGAGAAGGATGAATGTCGAAATGGATGACATTGGTCAAGGTCATTGCATTTATAAACTTCTTTGTTGAGTGGCAAGTCCTTTATACAACCACTAAAAGATCACGAAACAAAGAATGAAAAAAAGAGGCTGGGAAGGTGGCTCAGTGGTAGAGTGCTTGCCTTGCATGCATGAGGCCCTAGGTTCCATTCCTTAGCACCACATAAGCAGAAAAAGCTGCAAGTGGTGCTGTGGCTCAAGTGGTAGAGTGCTCGCCTTGAGCTGAAGAGCTGAGGAACAGTGCGCAGGCCCAGAGTACAGGCCCCACGATGGACAAAAAAAAGAAAAAAGAACCCATAGTGTTTCTTTTCTCACATATCATATAACATGACTGAAAAATTCACAACAAATGCACTCTATATTGTGCTTCAGAACCAATGAAACTCATTATCATGTGGACTGTAACTTTGTTTTTCAATCACATCTGCAATACTTGAAATTTGAGGGGGTAACAATGCTCGATAGGAAATGTACTCATTAGCTTACTTATGTAACTGTAACCCTTCTGTACAGTATCTTTACAATAAAAATATTTTTAAAAAGACAAGAAGAAGCCAGGTGCTGGTGGCTCATGCCTGTAATCCTAGCTACTCAGGAGGCTGAGATCTGAGGATCACTGTTCAAAGCCAGCCCTGGCAGAAAAGTCCATGAGAGTCTTATCTCCAATTAACGACCAAAAAACCAAAAGTGGCATTGTGGCTGAAGTGGTAGAGTGCTTGCCTTGAGCTGAATTGCTGAGGGACAGTGCCCAGGCCCAGAGTTCAAGCCCCACAACCACCACCAACAACAAAAAAAGAAGCAAAAAGAAAGGTAAGAAGGGGAAGAAGATGGAGGGAAAAGTCCCTCTGAGGAGTATTTCTGCTTTGGAGCATTCGGGGAGGGTTAGCAGCTTCCAAAGCAATGCCAGCGCCTCGGTAGGATACACAATCAAAGTCTGAATACTGAAAAAAATGGGGTTGGCTATGTGGGCTGTGCGCAGGTTGAACCCTGGTCTCACAGAAAAAAATTATTTATTTTTACTGTTGTTTTCCCCTTCCTTTAGAGCATTGTGTGCACTGGTCGACGTCAATGGTACCCAGACCCCTCCCTGGTCCACTGCATCCAGTCATGTGAGGTAAGCAATCCTCTTCCTCAAGCCCAGTTTACAGAGAAGTGAGGTAAGCAATCTTCTTCTTCCTCAAGTCCAGTTTACAGAGCAGTGGCCTGCTTGCCATTCAAGACCCCGTCCCTCTCCTGCTCCTGTGCTCTCTCTGTGGTTTCTGAATGTGACTAGGTCCACAATCCCAAATTCAGAAAAACTAGGATTCCCGACCTTTAGCTTTAGGAAGATCCTCTTCTTAATAAAATAAAATCCTCTTAATAAAATACATCCTCTGACTTAATAAAAAGGAAGTTTAAGCCAAGTGCGGGTGGTTCACGCCTATAATCCTAGCTACTCAGAAGGCTGAGGTCTGAAGATCAGGGTTTGAAGCCAGTCCTGGCAAGAAAGTCTTTAAGAATCTAGTATCCAATGAATCACAGAAAAAAGCCAGCAGTGGTGCTGTGGTTAAAGTGGTAAGTACAAGCTTTGAGCAAAAGGAGGTCAGGGACAGCGCCCAGGCCCAGAGTTCAACTCCCAGGACCAGCAAAAAAATAAAAAAGGAAAGAAAGTTTAAAGGTAAGTCAGAATTACAGCTTTGGGTTTCTATACGTAAGCCTTGTTTAAATGTACTTAGATTAGGCTTTTGCAACAAAGGTGTCCCTCAGATACCTTTGTTGGTATAGCACAGTTTCTAGAATGCAAGTGTTTAAAAATTGAGACTTTTTACATAAAATTCAAATGTGCATTCATAATATTATATGCATACACAACAAATGAAATAAGTATAAAAGTTATTTGGGCAAAAGTTTTCTTTTCAAGAAGCAAGAATACTTGGTATTCATGGACACAGTCAGCTGGAGCTGAGGAGCAGCTGCAACTTCAGAGGGGGAATTGGTTCTAGTTTAGCAGAATCTTTCCCATTCTGTAGCCACTCACCTGATAACTTCCTTCCTTAGGTTAACCACACGAGTCACACAAGCATCTATGGTTGTAACCCTCGTGGTAGACCTATAATCTAATGTTCCCTGATACAGACTAGACTTTTAGTCCCTCAAGAAATCCTGTCTACTTTACCTTGGATGCTCCTCCCAGTGGGGATCTTGGAGAGCAGTTAATTCCTGGCTAGCTCATCTGGAACTAACTTAACAAAGAACAGTCAAGAATGAGGCAAAACCTTGTAGGGAGAAGATGATGCAGGAATCCAGAAGAGAGAAGGAAGCTATACACACTCTATAGCCAGTGACAAATACAAATATTCTAGTCTCAGTTACATCAGACTCTCTTTTTCAATCCAAATCTCTCTGGAAGTAAATAAGCCACTTAGCAGCATTGCCCTAATAGCTCTGGCTCCTCCTTGTGTACTAGTGAGAGCTGTTTTACTGCCATTGATTTCCAGCATCCTCCAAAACACACCCAACCCACACGCATGTCAATCCCTCTATTCTTCTGTATTTCTGTGTCTCTTGTTCTAATTCTGGGAAAACTGAAATCCACACACAAAGCCTGAAAAGGGGTATGTGTGTGGCGGGGGGAAGGGCAGTGTTTGAAAGGAAAGGGAAAACTTGGTGAGGGGAGTGATACCCATAAAATAATGTTCTGCGAGGGCATGGGGGAAATGCAAGCAGAGAGTGTGCTTTGTTATGGTGTGGGCCAACAAAACAGCTCATCTTCTGCCATCATTAGAAAAACAGATGGTAGTGGCGGGGGCGAGGCGGGAGAGAAGGGGAGTGAATCATTCACTGGGCAGGGGGCAGGAAGGGGAAAGAGGAGGCCAGGGAAAGATGGAGATAAACAGACAGAGGACTTGGGGAGCTGGGAAGACATCAAAGGGATCCTGAGAATTCCCTTCTGCTGTTTCTATGCATGACCGCAAGCGGGAGGGTGGATGACAGAGCTTGGAGCTGGCGTTGGTGTTTCCCAGAAGGTTATGATATAACGCTTTCCCCAGTTGTCCTCCCCTCCACCCTGAATCTCAGCAGACACTCTAGATCTTTCATCCAGAGGCTCTCAGGCTGCCATAGCCCTTATGTCGTTCTGACAAACAGTAAAGTTTGCTTCTCCTATACTCCTCCCCTCATCCCCTGTCCATATCACGAACAGCTGATCTTCAACCGCTTGATAGGTTTTGGTCCCCCACTCCAACGGGGCTCAAAGTGTGGCCCCTGGACCAGCATCTCTGGCTTCATCAGGAAGCTTGTTAAAGATGCACATTCCCAGGCCCCACCCCAGGCCTACTGACTCACAAACTCTGGGCATAGAGCCCAGCAGTCTGAGTTTTACCAAGCAGGCCCTCTAGGGGATTCTTCCGACCACTAAAGTTAGAGAACTACCACCTAACCACTGTGGAAGCAGACAGGAAGATTCCTAACCTGTGTGTCCCTATTTGAAGTCTTCATTGTCCACAAGTAATTCTAGCCAATTACATTTTACATTTTGATTTTTCTATATTATTTTGGATTCTTTCTACGCTGTGATTCCCCATTCCCTGTGTCAGATTTGAAAGCCTGGTTTTTGGCTTCTGTTCACTCAGCAAAGCTAAGAACAAGAAAGTTCACTTATGGATCAGAAGGGAGAAAAATAAAAAGAGAGTTCATAACCATAGGAAAGGAAAGAGACCTGGTTAGGAGAAGAAGGAGAAACAGTTTGGAAGAAACAAACAAGAAGAACTGTGAAAGGGAGAACGAGAAAGGAGAAAACAGGCTGAAACTGGCATGTACAAGGGCAAGTTGGCTGATTTCTAATTCTTTACTGGAAAAATCAGCTAAACATATTAGGGAGAAATGAAAAGCATCAACAGCAGAAGAGGGAAAACAAACCCTGAAGCAAGATAAGGCAAAAGAAGCCTGGAAGGCTAAAGGAAGTCTTTTTATAAAAGTTATTTTTAAAAAAAAAGCAGCCCAGAAATTTGAGCTCAAATTAGACACTTTGCAACCTCATGTCCAGAGGGGATTATCTGTTTTGCTTTCCAATACTGAAAATAATTCTGAGATGTCCCCTTTAGCCATTCAGCCTTGTAAGCGTGGTGTGTGTCATCCATTATTTCTCCCAGTAGGCCCAAGGCAGTTAGTTCATTCCTCACTGTTCACTATGCACTGCCTGCTTCCTGTCTCTTCCATCCTTGTTTGTGTCTTTTCTCCTTTGCCGTGCACATTGTGCTCCCATTTTCCACTACTGTGCTCCTTGGGTTCTTTGAGAGACACCCACAGGGTTTCCTCTAACAATCATGTCGAAATAATTGCCTCTGCTTACGGTGACTTGTGTTTCCATTGTTTGAGCAAGCATATGTGGGCATTCCACATCTGCAATACAAATCTGTTCATCTGTCATATTCTATCTTTCTATTTGCTTTTCTTGACATTCTTGACCTGAATACGCCTGTGTTTTCTCTCTCTTTCATACATTGAAAATGGACAAGGATGGCAAAAAATTTTTTTGAAGCCAATCAAGTCCAGATTCAAATCCTGAGTTGACTAGTTGTGTGAGCCTCAGTGACTTGATTTGGATTGGGAAATGAAACACAATGCTATTTGAAGGACTTGTTAGGAGAGATTAATGTGCATGATACATTTAATGTCAGGTCTGGCCCATAATAAATTCTTACACAGTGGCATCGTTGGTTGTAAGCTCTTAGCCGCTGTGTATATGTTTAGCCGCTGTGTATATGTTTACCAAATAAGTAAAAAAGTAAACAGGGGAATTGCTGATGGTATGTCCTCAATATAATCAGGAGGAAAAAAAACCTCAAAGAAAGGAGCAGCAGCAGGAAATTGTTTCCACAGAGAACCACTGAGATTTTTAATTCACAAATCACTTGGAGACAACTAGTTGTTGTGTTCAATCAGCCACCAACTCAGTAGTCAACATCTCATTCTGAGAAACTCTATTCACTCCTACTCTTTTCCTCCTATCTTAGGCCTTCACATGGCTCATTTGAGCTATAGTAGCTGTTTGTTACCTGTTCTCCCTCATTCTTGGACTTGTGTCTAACAATTGCCCTCACCTTTGTCTCTATAGTTACAACAGAATTCTGTCTCTCTTTTGCGACCCATTGTTTTCACACTTCAGTCAATAATGAATCTCTAGGTAGTAAATGGTTTTAATACTTCCATCTCAGTACTAGTTCACAAGTGAAGAAAACTCTGTCTCATAGATATGACAATCCAAGTGTGAGAAAGGATGTAGCAATACCTATTCTGTGATTGTTTGAGCAACATTAATGGGTTCTGATAAAAATAAAAGTTACCAAATTTTATTTATCACTAGTACTGAATTACTCCGGCACTGAAAGCAAAATGGTGCTTTATCACATTATTAAGCCTCATGAGGTCTTGTCCCACAGCAGGTATGAGAAGAGGAGAAACAAAGCTCTGTTGGTCTGTTCACTTAAAAGACCTCCTTAAATCTTAGGCTTAATAAGAGCATTGGGTCATGTGTGATTCACCATTATGATGTTTTTTGAAGGATTCAGGAACTGTCTAAAGGAAGAAAAGCCAAGTCGTATATGTCATTTTAAAAGAAAAAGAGGTTGAACAAAAACTACCCATATTTACAAGTCTGACATTTCTACTAGAAAAGTTGAAGGATAAATATCTCCAAGTCCAAGTCTTATATTTATAAGGAACGTCCTCTCCTTTTCAGAATGATTGGTCAAAGAGATAAAGGAGAACTTACTCCTGAAGTTTAGTAGATATGTCATCGTAGTCAAATGAGGTAGCCCTACATCACTTTCTATATGTCCTTCTGGAAGGGGCAGTCTACCCAGTGGAACACTGAGGACTTGTTCTGGCCACATTTTGCCTTTCAACATTTCCTGGGCAATAGAATCAGCTGGTAGCTTCTTTAGAAGCATGCTTAATGCTGATTCTTCCTTTAAAATGCAGATGCTTAGGTCTGGCCTCTCCTTCCTGTTGTTTTTAATAAGAAGCATGCTATAAAACCCCAAAATATTCATATTTAAAACAAAGATTCCAGGTGGTTCTAATGCAGGTGACCTTAAAATGAACTTTAAGGAACACTGGATAGGGATTAATCCC